AAAGGGGAGGAATGGATGCTAAACAAAGGGAAAAAGGATAAGAAAACAAAGTGAAAGAAAGGATAAAACAAAGGAAAGGAAAAGATGGAAAACAATCGGAATGAGAGGATGGAAAAGAGAAAAAGAAAAGCATGGAAGACAAAGGGAAGACGATAACGAAAAGAATGACAAAAAATGGTGATAAATAATGAAAAACAAATGGTTATGAATAAATAAATATTGACTAATCAGAAAGGCGAATAGAAAGACAAAAAATGAAGGAAAGAAGTATAAAGCACAGAGAAGGAAATAATAGAAAGCAAAGTAGAAAACGAAATTGGAAGCAAAAGTGAGGAAATAATAGAAAGAAAATGTAAGGAAGAAACAGAAAGATGGGGGAAATGCAAAATAAAGGAAATGATGGAAAAGAAAGGGGAGGAAGGAATGAGAAACAACGTATAGGAGAGGATGGAAAAGAAAGGAGAGAAAAAGCTGTTTAAACAAAGGGAAGGAAAGGATAGAAAACAAAGAGATGGAAAGAATGTAAAATAAATGGGAGGGAAGGAGGAAAAGCAAAGGGAAGGGAAGAATAGAAAGCAATATGGAAGAGAGGATTTAATACAAATTGGCGGAAAGGATGAAATAGAAAGAGGAGGAAAAGATGAAAAAAGAAGCCCAGAAAAAGATGGAAAACAAAGAGAAGGAAAGGACGGAAACCACAAGAGGAGGAAGGGAGGAATAAAAAGTGGAGGAAAGGATGAAAAACAAAGAGAAGGAAAGGATGGAAAGCAAAAGGAAGGAAAAGATGGAGAACAATGTGGAGGAAAGGATGAAAAACAAAGAGAAGGAAAGGATGGAAACCACAAGAGGAGGAAGGGAGGAATAAAAAGTAGAGGAAAGAATGAAAAACAAAGAGAAGGAAAGGGTGGAAAGCAAAAGGAAGGAAAAGATGGAGAACAATGTGGAGGAAAGGATGGTAAACAAAGGAGAAGAATGATACAAAGTAAAGTGAAGGAATGAAATGATAACAAATGGGAGTAAAGGATGGAAAAGCAAAGGGAAGGAAATGTTAGAAATCTAAGTGGAAGAAAGGGTGAGAAAGAAACGGGTAGAAGAGGTGCGAAACACAAAGGGCATGAAAGGATGTAAAAAACAAAGGTACAGAAAGGACGGAGAAACAAAGAGGAAGAAAGGGTGGAAAAACAAAGAGGAAGAAAGGATGGAAAAACAAAGAGGAAGAAAGGATGGAAAAGAAAAGAGAAAAAAATATGAGAAAGAAAGGGAAGGGAAGGATGTAAATGCAAAGGTAAGGAAAGCATATGCATCAACGGGGAAGAAACGATGGAAAAGAAACGGGAGGAAAGGAGAGAAAACAAAGGAAAAGAAAGGATGGAAAACAAGGGAAAGGAGAAGATGGAAAACCAAAGGAAGTTGAGGTAAAGATGGAAAACAAAAGGGAGGAAAGGATGAGAAAGAAACGGGAAGGAGAGGTTCGAAACACAAAAGGCATGAAAGAATGTAAAAAACAAAGGTACGGAAAGGACGGGGAAACAAAAGGCGGAGAAAGGATAGAAAAACAAAGAGGAAGAAAGGATAGAAAAACAAAGGGCGGGGAAAGGATAGAAAAACAAAGAGGAAGAAAGGATAGAAAAACAAAGAGGAAGAAAGGATAGAAAAACAAAGGGCGGGGAAAGGATAGAAAAACAAAGAGGAAGAAAGGATAGAAAAACAAAGAGGAAGAAAGGATGGAAAAGAAAAGAGAAAAAATATGAGAAAGAAAGAGAAAAGGAAGGATTTAAAAGCAAAGGGAAGGAAAGCATATGCAACAAAGGGGAAAAAGATGGAAAAGAAACGGGAGAAAAGAAGGAAAAACAAAGAAAAAAAGGATGGAAAACAAGGGAAAAGAGAAGATTGAAAAACAAAGGGAAGTTGAGGAAAAGATGGAAAGACAAAGGGGAGAAAAGGATAGAAAAGAAAAAGGGAGAGAATGATGGAAAACAGGGGAAGAGGGAATGATGGAAATAAGGATATAAGGAAAAACAAAGTGGTGGAAAGAATGGAAAAAGAATCAGAATGAATAACTGAAAACAAAAGAGAGGAAAAGATGGAAAAGAAACTGGAAGAAGAGGGGGAAAACAATGGCGGGAAAAATATAAATTGAAAATGGTATAAAATATGGTTTGTTTAGCCGCATATCAACCTCAATGGATTATTTAATGTCGACACAATTTTTATTGCTGGTAATATTCTTTTTTCAATAATGTATTTCTAGTTATATTTTTTCTTCAAAAAATCTATTTCTGGTAATATTTTTCCTTCAAAAATATATTGCTGATAATATTATTTTTTTTTTTTTTTCAAAATGTATTGCTGGTAATAACGTTTTTTTTTTTTTACTACGTGTTTCTGGGTTTAAAACCTACTTTTAGACTTTAATAGTGCTTTGACTCCAATTTAGGGGTTAACTATTTGCCCATAGCTGGGACCCTAACAGGTGCTACCACGCCGGGTCAGGCTGGACCTGGGAAGACCAGCAATTAAGAAGTGTTTCCACGCTCCTCAAAACAGCCTGATCAGAGGCCTTGCTGTTGGACGTAGTTTATCGTCTTACCCAGGACGCGGATGTTGTTTATCGTCATATCCAGGACGGAGTATAAGAATATAAAACGCAATATAAGAGAAGAAAATGAACTTAATTCCAAGCTCGAGATTCGGTCAGTTTATTTAATGAGATTGTTTTGTGGACGTAAGGGGAAAAAGGTATCGAAGACTATGAGGATATGTAGGATAGATAACTTTAGCTTCGACTTGAAGTGCTTAAGACTGCATTGATCGTTGAAGCATTCTTGCGTCAGTCTATTCAGCAAAGTAGCGTTTCACGGGAAGAAAGAAGGAAGAATGTAAAGCAAGTGATGAAAAAGAATGGAAAAGAATTGTCAGAAATGAGGAAAAAGGTGTAAATCGAAAAAAGACAGGGAAAACGAATAATAAAAAAATAAGAAGAAGAAAAGAAAGAAGAGAAAAGAGAAGAATAAATTAAAATATAAGAAGATAAAATAAAAAAAAAAAATATGATAACATATAAAAAATTAAAACTAAAAAGATTCTTTATCAATAATACGTCAAGTAATTACAATAAATTGTGTTTTATATTATCCTGTAATAATATTTTCAATTTGCAATGGCGAAATACTTATACATTTAAAGATTTTTATTCCAAAAACTTCAAGTACTACGTAATTAAAAATAAGATGTAAATTTTAATCTTCATCATTCAGTGTGGCGTCGTAATGTCTGTGCACACTTCAGCATCTTACGAGTTCATTCCACAGGTCTGGATTGAAAGTCGGGGAGTTCCATCATACGTAGAGTGTCTTTATCTAGTAGAACTGCCAGTGTCTATACTTTTCTAATTCAAACTACAGACGATATCCTCCGACTTGTAGGCTCACCTCGGTCTTGGATACGGGTACATTGGTGCCATCGGGGGAACCGCTCGCTGTGTGTGATTGTCTTCAGTCTTGAAAACACATTGTCCATCGATGCTATGCCATCATGGCACTAGCTCATACAATGAGTTGCTTGTTATAAGTAATACAGGGGTATGAAGAAATGGTATAGAAAAACATAGCACATAAAAGTGAAGTGCAGAAAGAAAATTAAAAATGAATAAATGAACGAGGAAGAATGAAATTTAAAAAAAAAATATGTAGGGAATGAAAATTATGAAGAAAGGAAAGAAACTTCAAAGAAAAAAGAAAAAATAAAGAGGGAAAGGAAATAAAAAAAAACGAAAAAGAAGATGGAAAGGAAATAAATGAAAATAAAGTAGCAAGGAATGAAAGTAAAATGAAACATATAATGAATGATAAAAAATAAATTAGAAATCGGAAAACAGAAAGAAAAAAGAAAAATGGAAAGAAAGAAAAAATGCAGAAACAATGAAAAAAAGAAAAAAGAAAAAAAGAGAATGGATACAGAAAAAGGAATTGATTACAGAAAAAGAAAAAGAAAGAAAGTGCTTACAGTAAAAAGAAAAAGGAGAGAAATATTTTACAGAGAAAAGTAAAAGAAAAAAGTGCTTACAGAAAAAGAAAGAAAGTGGGTACAGAAAAAAAGAAAAAATAAAGAAATTTTTTATAGAAAAATAAAAATAAAGGTAGTGGTTATAGAAAAAGAAAAAGTAAAGTAAGTGGTTATAGGAAAAAAAAATTAAGAAAATGGTTATAGGAAAAAGAAAAAAGGAAGAAAGTGGTTCTCGGAAAAAGAAAAAAGGAAGAAAGTGGTTATAGAAAAAGAAAAAAGGAAGAAAGTGGTTATAGAAAAAGAAAAAAGGAAGAAAGTGGTTATAGAAAAATTCGTTATAGGAAAAGAAAAAAGGGGTTATAGATAAGAAAAATGGGGTTATAGAAAAGAAAAGGAAGAAAGTGGTTATAGAAAAAGAAAAAAGGAAGAAAGTGGTTATAGAAAAGTCGTTATAGAAAAACCGGTTATAGAAAGAAAAAAGGAAGAAAGTGGATATAGAAAAAAAAGTGGTTATAGAAAAGAAAAAAGGAACAAAGTGGTTATAGAAAAAGAAAAAAAGGAAGAAAGTTGTTATAGAAAAAAAAGGAAGAAAGTGGTTATAGAAAGTCGTTATAGAAAAGAGAAAAAGGGATTATAGAAAAGAAAAAGGGGTTATAGAAAAGAAAAAAGGAAGAAAGTGGTTATAGAAAAGAAAAAAGGGGTTATAGAAAAGAAAGAAGGGGTTATAGTAAAAAGAAAAAAGGGGTTATAGGAAAAGAAAAAAGGAAGAAAGTGGTTATAGAAAGGAAAAAAGGGGTTATAGAAAAATGAAGGGGTTATAGTAAAAAGAAAAAAGGGGTTATAAAAAAAGAAAAAAAGAAGAAAGTGGTTATAGAAAAAGAAAAAAGGAAGAAAGTGGTTATAGAAAAAGAAAAAAGGAAGAAAGTGGTTATAGAAAAATATGAGCAGAAAAGAATAATAATGGAAGAATATGAAAAAAACAAAAAAACAAAAAAAATAAAAAAAAGATAAAAACGAGTCAATGTAAAAATAATTCAAGAATAAAATTATAAACGAAGAGAAAGCAAGAAGTCGAGAGAGAATAGAAAATGAAATGGATGAAAAGAAAAGCGAAAGACATAGAGGAAAGATGGAAAAGGAAAATCGAGAAAAAAGAAAAGTAAAATGAAAATAGAGAGAAAGATAGAAAACAAAAAATGAATAAGGATAAAAATTAATGAATCTACAAAGAAAGAATAAAGAATAAATAACAATGAGGACGCATAGAGAATTAACATAAAAATTAAAAAGTGAAAATGAACTGAAATCTATGATTTAACAGGCGGAGAAACATAAATGCAGGCAATAAAGGTAAAATAAACGAACGAAAATGAAGGAATAAAATAAAAGAAAAAACAGATTGAAATAATCAGCCAATCCTTAAATTCGCTAAAATAAGATTTCGTGGGGGAGACATGAAGACTATAGGACAGAACAATAAAAGAAACGAGAAAATAAAGTACGTTCAAATAACTTGGACCGATTTTAATGTGAATAAAGCATAAGCGTCTAATTTTTTTTTCTTTCAGATTTGGGAGATATTATTTTTCACACCTAATTGCCATGACTTAAATAACATGATGCAACAGAGAAATACATATATTTTCACAAATAACACTGATTTATTTATGGCTGAGTTTGATCCGTCTTAATGAAACACCCTTATATATAATCCGTCGTAATGAAACACCTTTTATATGAGAAAATAGTAAAGACTAAAAGAAAAATATAAAAGAAAGAATAAGTATTAAAAAGAAGATAGAGGAAATAAAGACAACAGTTAAATGAAAGAAACAAGGACTAAATAGTTTTGAAGTATTGAAGTAAGGAAAGAAAGAAATAGTGAGCAAAAGAAAAAAAAGGAGATGAAGAAGAAAAAGGAATTAAAAACAAATAAATTGGCGAATGAAAACAAGAAATGTAAATGTAATGTGAGAAAAAAGATGGAAAAGTAACCAATGAAATAGAGTAACAAAAAATTGGGAAAAGAAACATAAAAGCAATAAATAGAAAGACTGTAAACCAAAATAGAAATAGCATAAAACAGTAAAATCAGAATGAAAAAAAAAACGATGATGGCAGAGATGGTAAAACGGATATAAAATTCCGGTTGGAGAAACAGTTGACGACCGATTTAATGAATAAAAAGTCACAAGGAAAAATTCGAATTATTTTACACAGCATGACGAATAGCTTTCAAAAAGACGTTCCAGTCAGGATTTGCGTCACTTAATACGAATTAAGTTGATTGGAACCACGCGGCATGTCACCGGCGCGAAGGGAAAAAGATCAAAAGCTAAGCAGAAACGTCTACTGAGGCGCACACCCCATCGTCAGTGAACAAGGAACATCAACAGGGAATAAATTAAGGCAAAGTTGAAAAGTTTCCCTTTTACTTGTGCGAATCAGAAAATCGGTTAAGTGCTTGGACTTGCTGAACTGACCATCGGCATAAAGACGCGCGTCTTTCAGTCTCATGCCACACGCTGACGATTTCAATACTTGCACACATCCATACGTAAATGAAGACGTCGACATTGTATTTAAATACACACAACGTAGAACTGGAGCGACATACATCCGGCAAGAATGTGCGTGTATTGAAATAGTTGGTTCGAGTTAAGGTTCACTTCGAAATATTACCTTTAAAAACATGCTTGAATCCACCCATTTTTCTCTCGTAGAAATGAGTCAAACAACAGGTTAGATTCGGCAGTCAAGCTTTGAAGGTCAACCAATTTGGGTAATGGTAAAAACTGAATTCAAAATATTATCAAAAGCAAAGAAAACCGATTCAACAATATTTAAAAAAAATTAAAAGGCAATTCATCGATAAAGTAATCTGTGGAGATGGTGACATGTTCTGAACATCAAAAATCGGATGAAATACAATTGAGAATTTGTGTCTAATAATGCATGTGCACGAACTGATACTTTAAAAAAATACACTGTAAAGGAATTAAACTCTCGCATATAGTGCGCATTCAGAAAATAAATACCGAATATTATATTTACAAAACACAAATTCGTCAGACTGATAAGTAAAAAAAATAATCATTAATAGAAACCAGAATGCGTATTAAATAAGAAATTTTTTAATTGCTTTACTAATATATATATATATAGATATATACACACACACACACACACACACACACGCACACACACACATATATATATATATATATATATATATATATATATATATATATATCTATATCTATTTAGAGAGAGCCAGTAAATGATTTGGGACTGTATTTGAGAAAATATTTAATAAAAAAAAAAAATAGAAATAATAATTTGATTTTAGTTGATTAAAAGTAAAATACTTTTAATCAACTAAATACTAATAATTTTTGTGTGGTTTGAAGATTTCTTTCAAAAGTCGGTTTTCCCGCCCCCAAAAAATGAAGAACAAATTTTCATCGGTGATTTGCAAAAAGTTCTTTAGAAAGATCATGGAATCTGTTTTCTTTTGCTTTTACCACTGTTCTAAATTCAGAATTTTGTATTTCTGAAAAACGTTAAGCTGTTGTTTGACTCATAGGTAGGGCAGGGAGACATGGAATGGTACCTTTTCTAAAGTAAACGCTGGAACCTGAGACCGACTCGTCGATTTCGCCACATTACTGCTTAAAGTACTTTACTTATTGAGAAATACTCACACAACAAACACACACACACACACACACACACACACATATATATATATATATATATATATATATGGGGAGTAACAGTAAAATTTTCCAATTGTTAGATTAAGTTCTGAAACGTTGTCTCTTTGAAATGATTAAAGATAATAGAATTCTCCCAGGTTTTTATAACATTACTACACTCTACTTTGAGCTATAACAATGTTTGATTGCTCTTCAAGCTTAACAGAAGTATCATGATGAAATCGACCATAAACCAAAATGACATATCTATTAATCATCGCTAATGATGGGAAGCACATGAAGTATTGAAATAAAGTTCATATATATATATATATATGTCTGATTGACTGACCTTTTAGATCTAGCGCTTCGCTTCTTGAAGAGGATACAGACAAGCTGATTGAAAACTGCTGAGTCCAGTAAAACACGTTGATCTCCATTCAACCCGCTCCAAGGCTAAGCGCTCGAAGGTGTTATGAGGTATATTGACAGCTGACAAGTTGCTCTTCAGCTTGTCTTTGTATCTTAGCAGTGGGCGTCCTACATTCTTGTGACCCTGATCTAACTGGCTGTACATTAGGATCTTGGGTATCTCGTCATCAGATATTCTCAAGACATGACCAGTCCACTGTAACTGAGAATGTATGAGAAAAGTCTTGATTCCTCCAATATTACACCTGTTAAACAGGTCTACGATAGATGTCCTATCTTCAAATTTAACTGCACAGATGACACTCAGTTTATATATATATATATATATATATATATATATATATATATATATATATATATATATATATATATATATATATTCCAGGAGCAATTTCAAACTTATTCAAGATGATCTTCACCCTCTCTAACCTTTTAAATTCTCTCCCGGATTACCAAGGTGCCACAAAGTTTTCACGTACTATTTCATTTTCAAGTCGCCTTTCACTTATCTTTAGACAGTCATGGCTGAAACTCCTCTCTCACATGCCAAACGTCTTATTCATGGAATTGGATATTTTCTAATTGATCTCTTTAGGTCTAAGTTGAAGTGACGATCCCTTTTCCTGTTGCGACCTTCTGATCCAGTTTTCTTCTCAACTGTTCCCTCTTTTTCAAACTTATTCAACGTTCGCTTGATTGTTCTTGAATGGACTTTGAACATGGTAGCCAAGTATAAATGCTGATACCATTACTGAAGGCCTGAAAGATTATTTTCATTTCGCCATTGCTTAGGTGGGAAATCATTGGGTCTAATACAAAACAATTTGAACTTGCTCTTTTTTAGCTAAAGAGCTCAATGGTTTTTTCAGTGATTCTCACAACAAATGGGACCAACATGGCGAAACGTCTTATCTGAAAACATGGCAAAAAGAAACTCAAATATTTTAGAGTTTTTTTTTTAAGTATTAAACATTTTGTGGGATGGATAATTCTGCTGTTACCCGATCTGGATAATTTTTCTGTTGCACGCTGTGTAAATATATATATATATATATATATATATATATATATATATATATATATATATGTGTGTGTGTGTGTGTGTGTGTGTGTGTGTGTGTGTGTGTGTGTGTGTATAAGACTATTTTTTGTCGATTCTTCAAAAGTTATTCATGCAAAGAAAGATTGGAATTGTCATAAAATGGAAACCGCCTAATCTGCAATTAATACACTAAAAAACAACTTTCCTTAATTGAAATATAGCACCTGATTCCAAAAATGTGTCACTAAATCTGTCCTAGACTTGTGTACTGAACTGATGTACGACAAATCGAAATAGCGAGACGTCACACAAAATATAGAAATAGTGTTTATTCTTTTAACCCTAAGCTGCGTTAGCACAATAAAGTCAAATTGAATACTGTTGCCATCTCGTTTCTCTTCTCGCACTTCTCACCTGTTGAAATCCCTGCCGTTTGCTTACTTACCTGATAACTGCAATCTTCAAAAATTTAATGCAACGTCAATCGATATCTTCTATTTTTTCGAAGCCTGTTCATAACATGTCCTTTCTTCAAAACTACCTAACCCAAATTCACATTCTACTCAATCGCTTTCACTCCCTGTAACACTCCCTGCCTACCAGTGGCATTACCATCTTGCTCGTAGTAGTTAAGTCACATATATTTTCCGAGATAATAATTATTCTTTTTCAACAATTAGTTGAATACTCAGCTTTTATATATATATATATATATATATATATATATATATATATATATATATATATATATATATTTATTTACGAACATTTCGCATTTTGTATATTTTATCGGAATCATAACACGTACATAGTGTATTTAGAG